CTGATACCTGAAAAGCAGGTCAGGCATATTTCCAGGATGCCTGGACTTTTCTCAATCATCTTTATTTTCTTCTCTCTCTACTCCTCAAGCATATTTCTTTCTTTCTTCCTTTCTTTCATTTTATTTTTCTTTTTTTGAGACAGTGTCATACTGTGTAGCTCTGGCTGTCCTTTAACTTCCAGAGATCTGCCTGTCTCTTCCTTCCAAGTGCTGGGATTAAAAGCGTGTGGCACCACACCCAACCAACTTTCTTTTAAAATATTTTATTTATTTATTTTTATTTTATGTATATGAGTGTTTTGCCTTCATATATGTAAGTGCACCACATGCATGCAATGCCCACAGAGGCCAGAAGAGGTTGCTGGTTCCCCTGGAACTGGAGTTATGGTTGGTTGTTAGCTACCATGTGGGTGCTGGGAATTGAACCCAGGTCCTCTGAAAGAACAGCAAATGTTCTTAATCACTGAACCATCTCTCCAACTTTCTTAAAATATCCTAACATATCATAAAGTTCACCTTTGTGAAGTGTACAATTCAGCAGTTTATAATATTTTCTCAGGTTGTATAACAATCCAAACTATTTAATCTTAGAACATTTTCATCAACTCAAAAATAAACTTTTCTGGAGTCAGGCGTGATGGCTCACATGTAATGCCAGCACTTGGGAGGCTGAGGCAGGAGGATGATGAGTTTGAGGAATGCCTGGGCTAAACAGTGAGACCTTGTCTCAAAAATAAGAACAAACCAAACCACCTTTACCCACTAGCAGTCATCCCCATTCTCCTGTGCTCCCGCCCTAAACAACCACTGATGAACTTTCTCTCTGCACTTGCCTCTTCTGAACACGTCATACATATGGAATCATGGAATCTGTAGCTTTTTGACATCTGACTTCTGGGGAGAGTTTTCAGGCAACAGAACCTCTTTCCCTCCTCTCTGTTACCCTACTATAGTGCAAAGCATCTAGGCTACTTCTCAGACCCCACACAAGGCTGAGGGTCCCATTCTTTTCTAGGGTGAATGGCCTGAAAAAGAAGACTTGAACATCCTAGAGCTCTGTGGAGGCTTGCCCCGAGCACAAGAAGGGTGGGCTAAGAATTTCTGTAATTTTCAACAAATGGATGCTTAAGAAACTGTGTGCACAAAAAATTCTAACTATCTTTGATGAACACAAGTCTCCTTTCGTAATTTTTCTACAGGCTATTGAAGTCATTATGCTTGACATTCAAAAAGGCATAGCTGGTGGGAGGGCTGCAGAGGGGAGCATGCACTCTCTTTATGGTACTGTGGGTCATGCTACAGTTTCAAGCATACTAGGCAAGCACTCCACCACTGGGTTACACCGCCAGCTTAAGAATGTATTTCTAACTAATTCAAGAGTCACTTGGTCATGTTAAGCTTCAGTTTTCTCATCTGTGAAACAGCTGTAATGACATCTATTCTACAGGTGGTGGGGAGGATTAGAAACTGAAAAGTGCCTAGTATGAGCATGAAGCACAGTGGGTATTGGGTGAACGGCAGCTGCCAGCAATGTTGTCAGGCAGTACAGCCTGGGAGTTAGATCATGGCCTGTCGTGCCAGCAGACTTCAGAGTGGGACTGGCTCAGACACTCCATTTCCCTGTTTGATAGATGGAGAAGATGAAAGAATCATAAGGACATTTGGGGGATCCACTAAGATACCCCAACTAGCACTTCTGAACACTTATTCTAGCTAGGTACTCTCTGTATATGAACGCATACAATCCTTTCAACAACCCTAGCCAGATAAAGAAAATGAAATTGTGTCATTTTCAGGCAAATGGATGTAACTGGAAACAAGCTAGCCCAGAAAGACAAATATTGCTTACTGTCATATGTAGAGCTCAACATGCACACACACTTACACACACACACACACACACACACACACACACACACACGCACAGAGTGTGAAGATAGAAGAATGATTGTGGGAAGGAGGGACAGGAGGGAGTAACAGGAGTGGATGTTGTTAAAGTACGTGACACACTTGAACACAAATGTCATTATGAAACCCATCACTTAGTATGAAAAATATACACAAATATAAATTAAAATGAAATGAAATAAGAAGCACCAGGCAGGGCTGGAGAGATGGCTCAGCAGCTAAGAACACTGACTGTTCTTGCAGAAGACCCAGGTTTGAATCCAGCACCCACATGGCAGCTAACAACTGTCTGTAACTCCGGAGATCCAAAACCAGGTTCGAATCCCAGCACCCACATAGCAGCTAATAACTGTCTGTAACGCCAGTCCCAGGGGATCTGGATCCAACTTCTGTCCTCCATGGGCATTGCACGACACAGGTGCACTTACATGCAGGCAATACACACATACACATAAAAATAATAAATGATTTTTTTTAAAAAAAGGCACCAGGCAGTTGAAAGAAAAGATGTATTGAAAGAAGAATATAAGGTTTTCTGGGCCCCTCACATGATAATTTGCATAATTCTGAGATGTTTCCTGTATTAATCTCTAAAATAGCATAAAGTGGCATCTATGTTTTTCTAGGGGAAACAGCAAGCCTAGCCCTCAGGTACTATTCATTTCCTCATCACACATCTGAGGAAATGGAGATCCATTGTCTGAGGTTACTGAGAATTAATGGACATGTTAGTATTCAGAATCATGCCTTTCTTATCTATGGTTAAATTTCTGTGGTTTCAATTACTCTCAGTCAGCCACAGAACAAAATACTAGATGGAGATTACAGAAATAAATAGTTATTTAGTTTTAAATTGTGCACTGTTCTGAGTATCATGATAAAATATCAAGCTGCCCTGCCCACAACATGAATCATCCATCTGTCCAGAGTATCCACGCTGTATATAATACCTGCCTGTTAGCTACTTGGTACCCTTCTAGGTTACCAGATCACCTGCTATGGTACTGCGCAGTGCTTGGGTTCAAGTAGTCCTCATTTTTTAAAATAACAGTTCAAGAGTAACAGTGCTGGCAACTTTATCATAGCACATTATTATGTGTTCTCAGTTATTTTAGTTAATTAATTAATTTATTTTATTTTATGTGTATGAGTGTTTTGCCTGCGTGCATGTAAGTGCACCTGTGTGAGAAATGCCCATGGAAGCCAGAGGAGGGCACTGATCCCCTGAAACTGGAGTTATGGAGGGTTGTTAGCTGCCATGTGGTGTTGGGAATTGAACCTGGGTCTTCTGCAAGAGCAGCAACCACTAAGCCATCTCTCTAGCCCCTGTTCTTAGTTATTTCAGTTATTATACTAATTTCTTGCTGTACTTAATAAATTAAATTTTATCATAGGTATGCATTCATAGGAAAACATATAGTATACATAGGCTTTAGTACTGTTCAGGCATCATCTGGGGGTCTTGCAAAGTATTTTCTATGGATAAAAAGGTCCACAGAAACCCCAAGCAGACTGCCTGCAGAGTTCAAGTTTCTCCATTAGTCTAACCTGCCAGTGTTTTAACACAGTGTCTGGCACAAAGGAAATCCCCATTATCATTATGGCAGCTGTGGAATAATAATGATGTAATGTTTAAAGTGTGCTTTGGCAGCGGTATTGGCATAAGGAATGTGGCTAAATCTCTTCTCTTTCACTTTGGTGGCAAACCAAAGACACTGAGTCTTTTCCATCTTTGTAACAAGAGTAATTAGAACATGGTACCTAGCATGGAATAAGGACTCCATAAGAGTTAGGTGGATGAGTTTCTCAAAACTGATATATTTATTAATATATAGCATGACGGCACAACTCTTTTTTGCAAGGTCACTGAAGGGACATGATTCTCATAAACATTTTAATTGCTCTGTTGTGATTGCCTAACCTCCATCCACTGTCTCCACCTCTTTCATCACCCATTCCAGACAACCACTCCCAAACCCAGCTCTCTCCCTCTACACGCACACTCAATTTCTCCACACATTGGAAGGTTCCCCCTTTATCTTACACAAGATCCCTTCCCTGCCCTTCCATCTGTGTGTGTGTGTGTGTGTGTGTGTGTGTGTGTGTGTGTGAGAGAGAGAGAGAGAGAGAGAGAGAGAGAGAGAGAGAGAGGATTGCATTCTCTCTGTAGTCTAGGCTGACTTGGAACTCCTTATATCACCCAGACTGACCTTGAACTCACAGCTCTCCTCCTGCCTCAGCCTCCTGAGTGCTGGGATTATAGGTTTGAGCCACCCACTTGGTTTTCCACCCATCAATCTTTCACCCGCTTTTGGGGTGATTCAGGCTTCTCACTTTACCCAATCTCCATGGCTTTTGGTACCAAAGCTGTTTAATTATTTATTTCTTATCTCTGGGCTATCAAAGCATCCAACAAAGATTAGTCTCTGCAACTGTGGAAGAGGCGAATGCTGAGGATTTCAGCAGACATTGTCACACTGTCAGTATTGACAGAGATCTTGTGCCTTGGACGGACCTAGTTATGGACATTCAGCAGCCTCTCTAGACTTCAGAGTCTGGCCTAGCACACACATGCCTGTCACAGGGAATTTCTGCACAGAAGGCCTGAAGGTTCAACAAACACCAAGTTAAGGGCAGCTCTGACTCCCCTACCTTCTACTGGAGTACTGAATGGAAAGCCTCACTTGGCCTCTTTCTCTAGCACACATGAATGATGACTAACAGAGACAACTCAGGGCACGGATGTGCATGCCAAGAGGCTGATAGTGGATCTGGGCATGGGGGCAGATCGAGGGTTAAGGACTGAGAGGAGGACAGTGGCCCTGGGTGAGGCAGAAGGCGTCCTCCTGCCACCTCCAGAATGTGACTCATTTCCAGATGTCACTTCCCTCAGGATTCCCTCCCCATCTCCTATTTCTGTGTGGTGCTCTTGCCACACACAGACAAACTGGTGAGTGGTGAGACCTTTTAGGGGGAAAGGCCAGTTTTCCAAATGTTCCCTGGTGGGACATGTGAGACTGGTACAGGAATGATTCTGAGGGCTCTTACACAAGTTGCTCTGGTTTTTTCCTGGGGCCCTTCTCACCCCCTACCTGTGCACATGACGGCAGCAAAGACCCAGCACTGCCCATAGCGTACTGGCTGGCAGCCTGTGGCGTGCCACTGCTTCAGGATGGCCACGCTGCCTGTCCACTCTGCAGGGTTGACACCATCTGTGTAATTCTCACTCCAGTTTCCATTAAGCACCCCGTTGTCATCGTTGCTGTTGATCTAAAGAGAAACCATATGTAGAAGTATTAGAAACATCCTTTCCCTCCACAAGATGTCATGTGGGGGCTGTCTTGGAAGGTCCACCAGCCTAAGACACAGAGGAGACCTTTGACCTCATTTTACCCAGGACCTTCCAGACCTGCTGGGGAGGAGCGAGGATGGGAACCAGATATTCTGTCTTGTACTTGTAGTAATTAGTTTATTATTGCATTCAATTTCCTGTAAAGCTGGAACTTGACTCTTGAGTACTTTAAAAACTAATTTAGAACAAAGAAAATCTAGAAGCAACAAGATAATTCTCAAATTGGAGTGACTTTTAGCTTTCTCCCAAAACATGTAATTTGGAATTAGCAGAAGTCACAGCGATACCAGCTATTTCAGAGTTCAGTTGTGGTAACTCGGTAGGTACCCACAGTCTACTGTCAGTTTCATTCAAAATTATTTTGTTCTCAGAGGGTCCCTGCCTCTTGACATCTCATTTGCCCATCACAGAGGGCAACTGTGAGAAGGCAGGGAGCCCCCTGCACAGCTTCCTCCCTCCCTGGGCAGGGCATGCCAGGGACCTCACCATGGCACACACCACTCTGCTGATGTAGACGGGGCTTCCCCGCAGGGCACAGTCTGTGGATGGGTCAACCTGGAAGTTCAGGCTCTTCTGTAGCAGCTCCAGACAGATGTCTATGATATTTTCCTCAAACTGCAAGAGAAGATACAGAAAAGGGAGACACCCCATTCTTGGTGTGTGTGGATACATAAAGATATATATAACTGACCAGGTGTGGTGGTACACGCCTTTAATTCCAGCACTGGGGAGGCAGAGGCAGGCAGATATCCAGGAGATTAAGACCAACCTGATCTACAGAGTGATTTCCAGGCTAGCTGGGGAACTAGCTTGCTTGTCTCAAAACAAAACAAAGAAATACATAACACCCCCCTACACACACACACTCAGCTCTCCAATAGAGTGTGTTTATGAAATAAAAACCCATCTGCATGCTAATTGTCAAATCAAACAGCCTCCCAGGCAGGTGCAAGGTTTCAAAGCTATGGGATCACAACCCACTTGGCCTGTATTTCTTGCAAGCCAAATCCTCACCCTTTACTTTGAAGGGACTATTGTTACTGAATTTTTTTCCCCAACGAACTTGCCTCATTGAAACATCTATTTCTCCCCCTGCCTCCTCCATCTCCACACTTAATGGAGTCCCTAAGATGTTCTTACTAAAACCATGCTGCTGCTTCTTCCACACTTACCTGAGCACCCAACTTATCACTGGCAGCGTGTTGAAGGAGGACACCAACCTGCCATGACACCCACAGTTCTGGGGCTCTGGATGACAAATCACATATGCATCCCAGAACTTTCCACTCAAAGTATCCTGGCTCCTCTTTCCCTTTAGGCCCAGTGTAAGACCTCTTCCTCTGAGGGCTTCCTAGAGCCCAAGGTTGGCCTGGGTCTATAGCCTTGGCATATCCCCTCTCCTTCCCAAACTTGGTTATGCAATGTATCCAAAATCCATGTTTCTTGCCTGATTGTATGCTCTGTCTCACTCCAACTCTCTTCATAATACTGGACTCCCAGACCCAGCTTGGATCCTGATGCACAGTAAGGACTCCATACATCTTTGTCAATGAGTGTAAATGAATGTGATAAGCAAAATTAGTGTTCTCTATCTTCCCCAGGGACAGTCACTTTTCTACTTTAAAATATTCAAAGGACCTTACAGCCTAGTGAATCAAAGCTCCAGCCTCCTTTAGGTGTCATCCAAGTCCCTCTAAGATCTGGCCCTTTCCTACTTCTCCAGCCTCTCATCTCTATGAACCCCTCCCCTAGCATTTTAACTCCAGCAACACTGAATTCCTTATAATCTCTGAAAAGGCCAAATCTTTCTGGCCTTTATGCCTTTGCACATGTTTACCCTTTGCCTTCACTTGACTCAGCTCAGTATCTTTGCTCCAAGGAAGCTTCCTCAATATCTCCTGCCAAACCAAGAGTCTTCCTCCTTGTTCCCAGAACATTCTGCCTGTCTCTCAATCTTATATCCCACTGTGTGGTAAACAGCTGTTTATGTGTCAGACCAGGGACAGTGTCTTTATTTCCATATCTCTAGCACTTGGCATCCTTCTTGGTACTTAACAGGTATCTAGTATACACCACTGAAGAAAATGGAGCTCAGAGAGCAGCATAGCCTCAATTCTCATGGACGACAGTAAACTCTTATCCGGGGTCTCTTCAGGACCCCCAAGGGCCCATATAGGGTGGAGAGTTTGGGGGAGTGAGATGGGACCAGATGAAGTTGCTACGTCTCCGCTGAGTTACAGCCTCCCTGGACGAGGCTGGGTCTGAAGGCCAGGAGTATTGGAGTTCTATTTGGGCAATACCTGGTGAGGAACCTGTACCCACATGGCACAAGGTTCCATGAGGACCCCTAGATTGTCCTGGCTGTCATCTATTCAGAGTGGCCAAGGACCCTCCCACAACTTAGAACATCTTCCTCCCTCTGAGCCTTGGACTTCCTAGAGCACCTACTGAGGCTGAGCTTTAAATGAAAGGCAGGTTTTAGACAATGTTTGTCAAGCATTGCAAAAATTTGGATACTATGTTTTGCATACATAATCATATGTTTTAGAGTATGTGCAGAAAATAAAGTGAAGAGGAAGCAGCTGGTAACTGTGCTTGGAATGACCTTCTTGTACTAGGTGTCCATTTTTGGAATGTTTCATTGCAAAATTCTGTGGGTTCTTTTGGATTTTTTTTATTGTTTGTTTGGGTTTTGTTTTGTTGTCCAGTCAGGATTTCATGTAGCCCAGGTCATGTAGCCAAGATGACCTTGAGTTTCTGACCTTCTTGTCTCTACCTCCCGAGTTCTGAGATTATAGGTGTATACCACAATACCCTATATGTGGTGCTGGGGATCAAGCCCAGAGCTTTGTGCATGCTAAGTAAGCACCCTACCAACTAAGCTACATCCCATCCCCAGCTCTCTGTTTCAGGATGTTGCTATGTAGTTCAGGCTGGCCTCAAAGTACAAACCCTCTTTCCTTAGCTTCCCAAGTGCTGTGATTACAGGCACTCGCCTTTTTAAAACAATCATGCATTACTTATAATGAAAAGGTCCATCTCAAAACAAATAAACAAAAAGGCATTGGTCATAGAGTTGGGGAAGATGCATTGCTGTTCACCAGCCCTGCTTCTGGCTGTGGTATTCAAGACCTAGTACATGTACGCATCCATGTGACAGATTTGATCCAGGGGCCATCGCTAGTTGTGAGAATAAAGAGAGAGAGTGGGAAGTGAGACCCCACTACAAACAGTTTAAAGCACAAATGCCAAGACCATCATTTCCATTGTGATGCATCTCCCTCATCCTCTCTGGAATGCCTGGCTTGGGCTGCCTTTAGCTGCTTTTTCCCTTAAATCCTGTTGTTCAAGTCAGATGTGATCAGCAAAGAATACATCTTCTGCCTTCCTATGGCTGCTCTCCTAGCAACCTGGGGTGCATCTCACACCTTTCCGGTGCCATTTAGTTGGTCAGTAGTCAACCTCATTTCTTCTCCCTTTCCCCACAAGCCCAGGGCACACATGGTCTGGGACTCACCTGCCCATAGTTCCAGGGGCATGGGCGGATCCAACTCTTGTTTCCTTGGTAGATGAAGCCATAATCATTCACAATATACTCCTGCCTCTGAGGCTCACTGTCCAAGTAGACACCATCAGCTAGGAATCAAAGTGGAAGGATACAAAGCAGAGATGTCACTTTGCTTTTCCTGGTCCATTGCTATTCTGAGTCCTGTGGAATCTGGAGCTCTAGAGAGAGTTAACTAGGGACACCTTGAAGGGCATGCAGTGGGTGTTAGGATACCACACTCTCAACACAGGCTCAATACAAACATAAGGTAGGGTGGTAGAAATTTACCTTTGGTGAATGTTACTATACATTTACTTAGGGTACTTGATCCCATGTTAGATTGAGGACATGAGCTCAGAACGCTTAAGTAGCTTGTCCAAATCACATTAATTACAGAGCTGGAATTTGAACACAAAGCTGTGCAACTCCATACTCTGGGCATTCTGCTGTATCCACTTGTCTTGGGTACAAAAGAACAAATCAGAGCTTGAGGGTGTCATTGATTACATCGTCCTTGCTGTGGGCATTTAATCTAAGTTAAGTATTTAGGTTGTGCACAAAGATTTAGATACTAAACTGCTCATCCGAGTGCTGTTGCTATATGGTAGACATTTTGGAAATGTCCTGTTTTAGGGAACTGATCAAACAGCTTCAGTGCATCTCCACCACAGAATTCTGCACAGTATTAATGTAAGGTGGAGCATTATATGTGATGTGCCAAGTTTAAACTGCTCAGCAGTTAAGAGCTCTGGCTGCTCTTGCAGAGGACCGGAGTTCAGTTCCCAGCATCCACATTATGGTTAATAAGCATCTGTAACTCCAGTTCCAAGGAACCGGACACCCTCTTCTGGCCTCTGTGGGCACTGCACACATGTGGTACACTTACATGCAGGCAAATGTCTATGAATAGAGGATTTTTAAACCCATCCCAAAATACATTAATACCAATTGCTTATGTTTTTCTTTTTGCCTACTGGTGTTTTCGAGAGTTTCTAGAATGAACACCTGTTTCTTTTATGACATAAATTTACTTTTTAAAGTAAGTGAATCAAAATCCACGGGGACAGGTATTCTTTTGGCAGTGTCCTGGACCTATCTGGAAGGCCTGACGGAACGTGACATGAGATGAGGGGTCCTCCTGTCTTCAGAGGGAGCTTCAGACAGTGCCTAACAGAAGCTGGTGCATGGCTTATTGCTGAGATGTATTTTATTCAGGGTTTGAACCAGTGTAGTGAACAGCTGCAAGTTGATGGTTAAAGTCACAAAGATCCCTGAACATAGTGATGTAGCAGCTTCCAATTCTGACTGAACCCCCTACCAGTCTCTACCCCAGGTTAGATCTCCCTAGGACATGAGTGTGGCACAAGCTCAGGAGAAGCACACAGTCCTCCCCACCACTCAAACAGGCCCTTTGTTCCTATGTTCAAGCCTGAAGCCCACAGTCTTGGAGGCCAGGAGGGTGTGTGTGTGTGTGTAACACAGAAGCAGGGGGCAAGTACCTTCACCTACCTGGTGAATGAATGATAGACCTGAGAATTCAATGACTAGGAAGTAGGGGTTGCAGCAGTGTCAGACTCACCCTGGTTCAGAGACCTGACATGACCCCCATTAGGGTAAAGTCAGAGAGGAGAGTGGAATGAGAGGAAGGAAGGGGGCTCACCCTCCAAGTCAGAGGCAAGGCTTGGTTGAATCTAGTCTCTGCCTAAATCACACCAGACCTGCCTCTACTCTTCGGGTCTTCCAACTTCTCCCCACTTGCTCTGCCTGGCCTATGCATCCCACTGCCCACACCACGTCCTTGTCTGCCTATGCATCTACCCTACTTCAGGCAGATTTACAGAGAAGATGGTGCTAAGGAGATTGACCGTGGCTTTGCTTGTACAAGAGAAAAACTGGAAACAGGCAAAACTAGTCCTCAGAAGCAGGGGACTGGTTAAAAACATTTGGTACAGCCAAGCAGTATATAACTGTCAAGGAAAATTTTTTGATAGGAAAAATATGTCCAGAGTTGATTTTTTTCTTACGGGGTCTCATTCTATAGCCAAAGAGGGTCTGGAACTCAGTATGTGGTCCAAGCTGGACTCAAACTTGCAGAGCTCCTCCTGCATTAGCCCCCCAAGTGCTAGCAAAGTTTAATATTTAAAAGAAAAATGCACATTAGAGACTAATATGTTCTATAATCCCACTTGTGTATGTTGTAGAAGCGGCATACAGATACACACAGGTGCGTACTATTTAAGTATAGAACCATTTCATAAGGCTATACAGAGCATGCTGACAAGGTTTTCCTGGGAAGTGGAACATGGGGCTTGGCAGATCTGGTTTCTTATCTGCTACCTTTTTTTCCTTTCCTTTCCCCTTCCCTCTCTCTCTTTCCTTCCTTTCTTTCCTTTTTCTTCCCTTTTTCTTTGTTTTATTTCATTCGTATCATTTACGTTTTTCCTCAAATATTCATAGTATGCACTTGTTACTTTTAAAATAAAATTTTTCTTTTTTTAAATATTTTTTGAGAATTCCATACATGAGTATTGTATTCACATCATTTCCACCCTTCCCAGTGCTGCCTCCCATGATGCACCCACTTCATCTCAATTTCTTGTCCTCATGTTATTATTGTTACAAATACATACATGCATTTATAAACATATGTATAATGCACTGAGTCCATTTAGTGATGCTCCTCATGTGTACATGTGTTTAGACTGACCACTTGAGATTAGATCACTTATCAGGGAGCTCGTCCCTGGAGAAAACTTGATTCTCCCTCCCTCAGTATCCATTGATTACCTCTAGCTCTTCTAGAGATGGGACTCCGTGAAAACTTTCAAATTAACTTAAAAATATGTAATGAAGGGAGGTGTTAACAGCAGTCAAACTAAATAATAGTTTTCAACTTAAATTCGGTTTTGGGGTTCATAATTTAAAACATATAAATAAGTAAACAACTTGTTCTAGTTGTTGGAGTGAGGTACTGAATTTAAGATGTTGGGGGGATTTATGGGTGGCCAGGGATCAGTAGCTAGAAACCCTTGAGCCTGGCTCTCTGGTGGCACTGACAGAGAGGACAAGGAAAAGGAGCCCACATGGGTACCCACCTCACCTGGACACCAGGGATTGAAGAGCAGGATGAACTCCCCCAGCTGGTAGGCTGTGACAGCGCCCTGGAAGGAGTCAACGCGAATTTTCAAGAGGTACCGACCCACCGCTGCCATGGGAGGGGCGCACAGGCTCACTTCCAGGGAGGCGGCCCCATTGGTCTCCAAGGAAGCGATCCAGGGACTTGGGCCATCACTGCTTGTCAAGCTGAACACTGCCCGAGTCCCTTTAGCCAGGTCTGGTAGAGGTCCTGGGAGGGAAGCGTACCTAAGGATCTTTATAGTGACCTTCCATCCCCCTAAGATCCCTTCCAACACACACATACACACACACACACACACACACACACAATGAATGAATAAGTATAATAAATTTAAAGCAATAATTTAGTGTTAGGAAAATCCACTGTCCTAGAGAGGTCCATTGCTTCCTGCTTTCTGAAACTGCACAAGACAAATACTCTGCATTAGCTTGGTAACTGAATGACAGGCTGAAGGAGGAGTCACAGCTTTCCTAGGAGAGTCACTGTAAAGTTGTAATTTTCTTTATTGCTATAATATTTTTATTTTTATTTCTCTTTTTGTTGAATTTCTCTTACCTCTCTCTTTTACTGAACATTTGTGTTTTTTTATTTTGATATATCACAGTGAAAGATTTATCGTCCTCTTTTTTTTTTTTTTTTTTTAAAAAAAAAAAAAAAAAAAAAAAAAAAAAAAAAAACACCCTGTGGGCCAGCTGAGTTGCTCACCAGTCTCAGCCACAAAGATGATGTTGTCCAGGCCTGGCTGGAAGCCCCGGTTCCTAAAGTATAAGGTGATGACAAAGGCCTGGCCCCGGCGGACAATAAGGCGTTCAATGCTGATCTCTTCTGTGTGGTGTCGTACATTGTTCCGGGAGCTCTGGAGGTCTACGAGGGCCACTTCCAGCCCTTCAATAGGGCAGCCTAGGACAGACAAAAGCAGAGTTGCAAAGCCTGGTTCAATCATGTCTACCACTTACTAGTAACTCAAGAAAGTAATTTAGTAACTGCAACTGAGTTTCCATGTTGGTAAAATGGAGTTCATATAGGGCTGGTATGAAGATTATCTGATGTGGGCAAGCTCCTCTTTCTTCCCCCACCCCCTTATCTCCTCCTGGAGGTGCATGGCTTTCTGACTAATTTCCTTTGTAGAACTGCCAGGTTTGATGTTCCCTTCAACCCAGTGTATCTTCAGATTCACCTTGACACCCACTTTCTTGGATTCAAGTTAACAGACTCACTAATTCCTGTGTGCCTCCAAACCTTGGGAGCAAGCCCCTGGGTTGCCTGCCCCTGGATGAGCTGTCCTACTTTCAGCAATGTGAAGGCTGTCTACCACCATCAATGCCCCGTGCCTAGTATTCTGTGTACTCGGATGCTGAAAGTCAGAAAGTACCACTCCCAGCCTTCTGGAGCGTCTGCTAAAACACAGATTAAACTCATTGTTCTCCAGTGTGCCTCTCCCATAAGGGCTGTGTGTCTGACTTCTTGTTTGATCATGGTCTTGCCATGGTCCCCATTCACCTGAGGGAGGTTTACAACATTTAAATTGCAATGGGCTCACCCATTTCCTCAGCCTACAGTTCATATGTCACCAGGTCCTTTCAATCATTCCATACAACTTCACTGAGGTCCACTGTCTCTACATGCATTTAATTTCTGCTCTCCTCGCCTCACCCTTAGTGACTTTAAACAAGTGCCAGCAGTTCTCCTGTCTCCTGCATCACTCCCCACCACTTCTTAACACATCATCCTTTCCTCAGAATGATTTGATCATGCCACCTCATTTTGCTTTAAAATTTCTAATATGCCCTAAAGTCTGCCAAACCTTCACCTGACACGCATGACCTCCCCATACCCAGTGTTAGCTTCGTTTGTAGTCTCCTTTCTCATTGCTCTCAGCAGCAACCCTTTCCTCTAGCCAGTCTGTCCCAAGAAAGTGGTATATGTACCTACCTGTCTGTGTATTTTGTTTCTCCTGCAGCCCCCAATTCAGAATATTCCCTTCCTAACCAAATCCTATTTGTCCTCCAAGACCCACTTCCCTGATGAAACCTGCCCCTGTTGGTCCACTCTTCCTCCCATTTCTGCAGCATTTAACTGAGTCTGAACAGTGTAACTGACAAGTTCATTTATATGTCACAATCTATGTGCCCATTTACATAAATGCATTTTTACTGATATCCTACTCTTTTCAATCTTAGCATATGATATTCAGATAGTCTTTGTTATTTTGTTGTTATTGTTTTGAGACAAGGTCTCCTTATATGGCCCAGACTAACCTCAAACTCATGATCTTCCTCAAACTCATGATCTTCCTTCTTCAGCCTCTGGAGTTCTGGGGTTATAGGTAGGTACCACCACACACCCAGCTCTCAGTTACTTTTTTTTTTTTTTTGAGACAGGGTCTCCTGTAGCCCCAGTTGGCCTCTCACCATGTAGATCAGGCTAACCTTGATCTCACAGAGAGTTTCCTGCTTCTATCTCCACCTCCCTAGAGCTGGGATTAAAGGCATGCACCACTATACCTACATCCTTTAGTTACTTTTTTATTTGTCTGTTTTCCAACACTAAATGTAAGCTAGGAAGGACAGAGGCCTAGCTATTTTATCTTGGCTATGTTTCAATTGAAAATTTAAATAAATGAATCAAATCATTTGGAAAAATCCACTACCTTTTCATGTTAAAAAAAATTCAACAAACTAAGAATAGAAAGGAGTTTCTTCAACATGATAAATAGAATCTATAACAACCCACAGATAACCATATTTAGTAATGAAAACTGGAGGCTTTCCTGCTAAGATAAGGAACAAGACAGGATGGATATTCTTGTCTGTTCTTGTTTCATTGTTGAAGATAAAATGTACTCGAGGTTCCAGCCAGGGCTATTAGGCAAAGAAAAGAGATCAAAGACACTAAGACTGGAAACAAGTAAAATGATCTCCATTCACACATGATGTAAGAACAATAACACTCCCAAATAGGAATCAAGTTAGAATTGATAAATTCAGCAAGGTTGCAGGATGGATGAATATCAATATTCAAACTCAACTGTATTTCCATATACTCACAAATAATCTGAGAAAAATATAAAAGTAATTTCATTTATAGTAGCATCAAAAGGCTGAAATACTTAGCAACAAGTTCAACAATGAAATGGAAAACTTTTATCACAGAAACCAATAAAATATCATTGAGAAAAAATTCAAGAACACCTACATAATGGAAAAATGGACCATGCTCTTGGAAGGTATATCATTCAGATGAAAATTGACTTTAGATTCAATAAGTACCTTATCAAAACCCAAATGCCATTTTTCAGAAATTGACAAGTGGATGATAACATAGGGAAGTAAAAAGGATCTGTAAGCGCCAAAGTGATCTTCTTTCTTTTCTTCCTTCCTTCCTTTCCTTTCTTTCTTTCTTCCTTCCTTTCTTTCTTTTTTTTGGGGGGAGGGTGACAGAAGATCTTGCTATGTAGCCTGAAACTCATGTCAATCCTCCTGCCTCAGCCTCCAGAGTTCTGGGATTACAGGCATGCATCATCATGCCCAGCTCAAAGCAATCTTTTTTTTTTTTTTAATGATTTGAGATCTTTTATTTCTTGAAAACTAAAAAGCCCTATCCCATTTTGTATAAAGAGCTTGAATATCTGTGACTTTTTGTTTCCTTGAGGAGTCCTGAAACCAGTCGCTGATGGATACCAAGAGAAGGATGAACACTGAAATCAGTATCTAATTAGTTACTGAAATCAGTAACTAATACTAGACATGCTATTCTTATCTTGCTTTTTCAAATCTTGTCTTTTTCTAAGTCATAGATTCAGATAAAATCTATGAAACAAATGTCTATTTTTTTCTATTAGTTTCTTTTTTTATTTTACAAAAACTTTATTGAGAATTTCATACATACATATAAGGTGTTTTGATCTAATCCATGCCCACTCCTTCCCCTCCAACACTCCCCCCCTCTGAAGAGGTAACCCTAAACTCTTTTAAGGATTAGATACATGCTCCCAAATACTTTGGACATTTTTGGCCTTTGGAACACAGTATGTTGCTAACAGGCCCAAGGACATTTTGACTTTTAGCCAAGAAACTGGCTACATTTCTTTGGGGTCTTTTTATCCTAACTGCCTAGCCAATTCCTACCTCCTATTCTTATTATTTGGGTTTTAAACAGCAGCAGCCTCCCCTCTCCCCAACAGGGTCCCATGGACTTTGGATTTTTTAAGCCTGAAAAAGGGAACTGAGCTGATAAGCATCTTGGCCTTTGAAGTCAAGGGGAGCAGATTCTTCTAAGAGGTAGCCTGCCTTTCCTCTGATCTCTGAAGACAAGATAAGCAGATTCTGCCTGTTAACCAGAGATTTTCGGAGCTGTTTTAGTACAGCAGCTTTTCCCTTATCTTAGGAGGACAAAAAAGTAAACACTTCCTGACCCAGATCCTGACTGGCAGACGGAAGGAGCCAGGTTTACAAGCCCTGCTTTTCCTGCTCCCCCCCCCCGCCCCCCGCCCCGCCTGATTTTTCCCAAAAAACTTCCCGCCTTCAGCACCCTGAAGCACCGCCCCCCCTATATAAGCCACAGCTCACAATCTGTGGGCAGACAGTTTCCCTTCCCCAAAGGGAACGTGTCCCTTGTGAAATAAAGCTCTATCCCGCTGAGAGTTTTATCTGTGTCTTGGTGCCTCATCCTCCATTTGCTTGTTCTCTGCCAACTTTTTACTTATCACTTATCACACCATCCTCTGAAGGGGTTACCCAAATTGCCAATAGGGAATAGGGATAGGGACCACTCTGGCTTCTTCCATGCTGAACAGGGATGCAGGGTGAGGCAATTGGAATACCCCTTCAGTGGGATTTTCTAAAAGACTCCCAAACTGCATAACTCTTTATCTCTAAGGGAAGAAGAAAGTCCTTGAATCATGAATAGGAGATGTGAAGGAGAAGTAAAGGCAAGAGTAATTAGCATTACAAGTTCTAGACAGGGAACTAGAAAAACGTCAGAAAGGGCAATTTTCAAATATCCATTGGAGTTTCTTGACAAGGGCTTCCAAAAGCATCCCTCTATTGGGTTCTTCCTCATTTTTCTTTTGTCTTCCAAGGCTGGACTAGTTGGCTGGGAAGAGTGGCTGGATACTCAGGTGAGGGTCCAGTGACCCTGCTTGCTCAAAGCAATCTTAAAGAAAAACAGAGGGCTTGCATCTCTATACTTTAACTCTTATTATAAAGCTAGTGATAAAGGCAAATGATGTAGTGACATTAGCATAGACATAGGCCAGAGGGGCAGAAGTGAGATTCTAGAAAAAACTCTCACATTTATGATCAACTGATCTTTGACCAACATGCTGAGACAACTTAATGTTGAAAAATGCTTTTCAAAAATGAAGTTGGATGCCTAACTCACATGCTGTGCAAAAATTAACTCAAAATGGATCCAAGGCCTGAACATCAGAGCTAAAACAATGAAACTCATAGAAAAAAACATAGAGTAAATCATCATCTTAACTAGGCAACAGTCACTTAGATATGACAGCAGAAGTGGAATCAGTGAAAGAAAACCCCCCAATAAATTGTATCTGATCAAAATTAGTAAAATTTTTGCTTCAAGAGCGTCATAAAGAATGTGAAAATACAACCCACAGAATATGAGAATGTTTTTGCAAATCATAGACCTAATAAGTGATTTTCAGATAGATAGACAGACATATAGATAGGACAAAGTACAATGCAGAGATAACCCAAATGAAAAAGGGTAACTGAAGCCCGCGAGATGACTCCGCAGCAAAACACTTGCTGCACAAGCCTGGTGACCTGAGTTCAATCCACAGTGAAAAGAGAGAACGAACTCCACAAAGTTGTCCTCTAACCCTTACAAGTGCGTGCACACGCACACGCACACACACACACACACACACACACACACACACACACACACACACAGTAATAATGATAATAATAATAATAATAAACTTTTTAAATGGGTGACTGATCTAAATAGATACTTTCTAAAGGATACAGGAAAAAGGCCAAGAAGTGCATGAAAGCATCTCAGCATTATTAAAGAAATACAAATGAGATGTTACTTCACATCCATTAGGATGACTACAATAGGAAAACAACAGTAGCAAGTGTTGACAGGATGTGGAGATGCCACACTCAAACGTGCTGGTTTGTTTGTAAATGGCACAGCACTTTGGAGAACATTGGTCATTCCTAAAAATGTTGAACATAGAGTTGCAATGTGATCCATGACAATAAAAGCATATGTTCACACAGACTGACATGTGAATGTTGATAGCAGCATTATTCATAAGAGCCAAAAAGTGCAAACAGCACAAATATCTATCAACTGATGGGTAGGTAAACAAAATGAAATACTGTTTGGTCACAAAAAGTAAAGCTAAGCACATTACAACATGAATGGGCCTTGAAAACATTATTCACAGTGCAAGAAGCCAGACACATGAGGTCACATTTTATGTGATTCTGTTTATAAGAAATGTCCAGAAGAGGCAAGTCCATAGAGACTGAAAGTAGATTTAGGGATTTCCAGGGGCTAGAGAAAGGTGGGATGGGGTGTGCCTGCTAATGAGTACAAGGGCTGCTCTTAACAGCAATGAAAATATTCTGGAACTAGATACTGTTGATACTTACAAAGCTTTATGAATACACTTAACTGTATGCTTCAAATGGATGAACTTTATTAATTATATTTCAATAAAGCTGTTATGGACAAATATGACTCAATTCAACTATATCAAAGTACCTTAATAAATATTATACTTTATCTTCTTAAACCTCTGAGTTCGTTTATTGTTAACACACATCTTTTTAATTAGTGATCTTATTATTTTATTTATTTTTATTTTGTGTGTATGAGTGTTTTGCCTGTATGAATTAAGTGTATCTGTGCTGTGCAATGCCCTTGGAAGTCAGAAAAAGGCATTGGAGTCTCTGGAACTGGAGTTTCGAATGATTGTTAGCTGTCATGTGGGTGCTGGGAACTGAACATGGGTACTCTGCAAGAACAGCCAGTGCTCTTAACCACTGAGCCATCTCTCCATCCTCAAGCTTATTATTATAATAAAATAAACAGAAGCATAACCATCAGTACATTGTAGGTAGACAGACATGTTTGCTAGGTTGAAGAATCTATCTTATGCAAAATCACCCTATACTTATTTCAGGTTTCAGATTCTCTCAGAAACTGATCCAGGGCTATTTCCTCTGTGCTAGCCATTTGGCCTAGGCACTGTAGGACGGTTATCTTGTTATGTTATCTACACTTGGTGGTGAGAAAACAGAGGTTCAGATAGATAAACAGCTTTGTCTTGTGTTGAATCCAGATTGCTGACTCACATCCAGGGCTCTTTCCATTACCCAACAGCTGCTGCCCATTGCTGGCTTTCATTCGTGCTCACAAAGAACATCCCAACCTTGCCACTTGGGAAGGTGTTTGACTTTTTCCTAGTGATGGAAAAAGAAGCTCATGTCTTGGGAGACCAGTTGACTGTGTAGAGAGCCCTAACTGGCTCCAGCTCGGTCAGTGCATGACTCAGCCTACCCAACAGGTGTGGCAGCATCCTCCTGACTGCAAGCACTGCAAACACATCTTATCTTCCGGAGACACTGTAGGTCAAGTCAACCTCCACCTGTGACACAGGGATGATTCTGCAGCCCAAATACTATGCTTAGTTTCCCTTCTGTGGCCAAACAATATTCCATTATTTTTATATACCACATTTTGTTTATCTATATTCCAATAGGATGTTCATTTTCTATTACTGTATTTCTTCTTGAAATGAGGAGAGAAAGTGAACTTACCAGGGAAATAACAAGGATATGGTAGGAAGAACTTTTAAAGTTAAGTGATGTGACTATCTGTCCTAGGGAGACACTCCCTTGTGAGTCTCTCTAGGGAGAGGCATGCATTAAGATGCTTATTGCTTGTATATATAACCAATTTGGAATGGCCTAAGTGCCCATCAATAGAGGAGTAGATGAATAAATCATATACTGTGAATACTACACAAAATGGGAAATGTTGAGGTAGAGCTATGTATACTCCTGGCATGGGCAAAGGACCAAGACATACTGAAATGAAAAAAATCAAGTTGCAGGAAAATATTTATACTATAGTAAAATGGATTTATACCAACATCAAAAGGCATACATGTTGAACTAATACATTGCATTTATTGTATATATGAATGTTAATGTGTAGACCAAAGACTGGTAACAGTGGTGACTGGTGACGAGGCTGGGGTTAGAAATAGAGTCAGGGTGCTATAGCTTTATCTGCAACTATTGTTTTATTATGCTCCAACTATGTGTTCATTTATGTCCTCTATAATTAAAAGTCACACAATTTTTAAAACAAAAAATTAAGTCCAGGCTTGGAAAGATGGCTCAGTGGTTAAGAATACTAGCTGCTCTTGCAGAGGACCTGGGCTCAGTTCCCAGCACCGACATGGTGGCTAACAACTGTCCCTCACTCCAATCCCAGGGGTTCTGAACCCTCTTCTGGCCTCTACAAGCATTGGATGCATGGGGGCACTTACATACATGCAGGCAAAACACTCATACACATAAAATAAAAATAATTTTTTAAAATTAAGCCCCAAAATAATAAATAAAGGCTAGGTTGTAACATTTGTAGAACAAGTTCAAAGCTCATCCCTTATAAATGCTTCCATTTAATAATTTACTCTTCAGAGTCACTCTAAGTAGAGAGGAGGGGCTGATGTGGAGAGAAGTCAATGCCTGGAAGATTAGCTGAAACAGGAGAGTGTCCTCTGAAGCAATGGGACAAGAGAATTTAGAAGGTTCAGATGAATTTAGAGCAGGAGGAAACCTTCAAGATTATGGTCCAAGCCCTTCTGCTCTACAACCATGGGAGACAGGAACGAGAGAAGTGAGTTGACTTGTGTGAAAAGGTTAGTTAGTGTCAGCGAACAGGAATCCCAACTCCCTAATCCCTTGCCTTACCCATCCTACCCTGCTGTGGAGGCAGACATGGTGGCATGCAGCCCTGTTTACCTCCACCCTGCCTCTTGGTTCTCGGGTCGCCTATGAATTCTGAGGATTCTGGGCTTCCTACTCCTCCTAGATTGATTCTGTATTTACCCCTTTCTTCCTCTGAATCCACCCTCTTGTCCTATAGTCTCTCTGTGTGTCCTCCTTGTCCCTACATTCCAGCCATCCCATGGGGCTTCCCTACCTTGGGCCATGGTGCCTGCCTCAGGCTCCTGGGCTGCTCCCCCACAGACAGCTGGATGGACTGGAGCTTCAGGAAACTGATCCTTGGAGCTTCTGCTTCCCCTTCCATCCCAAGACTCCAGGATACTGGAGGCGGGGCCGGCTGCTGTACTGCCACTTCTCACAGGGCAGATCACAACTGGTTTTCTCACTTACCCTCTGGTTTTTCTTGGCAGTGTTGCTCAGGTGAGAGGAGGTGTGGAGGCTGTGGAGCCATCAGGGCCTTGTGCCACGTGGGCCTTTGATAGCTCTTGGGCAATAGGGCTGTGGTAGGGGAACCAGGAAGAATTGGTGAGCTGATGGGGCCTTTGGGGAGGGGGGAATGGAGCAGGATGTGCTTCTGCATGAAGGAATGACAGGGTCTAAAGACTTTTACTGCTCACAACTAGGAGAGCTCAGCGAGCCTGAAAGTCTGCTTTACACTTGAACCCTTTCTTTCTAGACATTAAATGCAACAGAACCTACTTTGGAGCATTTTTAAAAAAAATATTTTATTTATTTATTTGTTTGGTTTTTTTTTATTTATTTATTTAATTTTGTGTGTATGAGTGTATTGCCTGCATGTATGCACGTGCACCCGGGTCATGCAATAACCTTGGCGGTCAGAAGAGGGTGTTGGATCCCCTGGAACTGAAGGTACAGACAGTTGTTAGACGCCATATGGGTCTTCTGCAAGAACAGCCAGTTTCTTAACTGCTGAGCCATCTCTCCAGCCCCCCAAATCACTGTTTTGAAACATCCATATTCACCCTCAATCCTCAGCCTCCCTCAACCCATTGTTCTAACCCTGAAGGCCAGGCACCCTTTCCTGCTCTTGAGCATGCTTATTCTCCTCCTCTTTTTCTCTGTGTGTCCCCCCTTCCTCCTTCCCTTTCTTTCATCTCTATCTCTTATTCTCCTACCTCCCCATCTACTCTGTCCTTTCCTTCTCAGCCCCTGTCACAGGCTCCCTACACCCCCATGCTGGTGCTTTCCAGGGATTTGCCCTAGGAGTTCATCTGTTCTCACTGCACTTACCCCATCTTGACTTAGGTAATCCCCAGAACTGTGGCCTTCAGGCCCCTCTTCTGTGCCAATCTTTGACACTTCAGACCCAGCAAGCCAAAAAGGAGCCCTTTGTTCTCTCCTTCCTCTCAAAACACCTGCTTTTCCTCCTGCATTTCTGGTATTGGTGAGTGAGGACACTGCATGCCCAGTCACTGAGGGTGAAATGTGGAAGGGTTTTCTAGTGTTCTTACTTTAGAACACATTAGCTCATCAGTCCAGTTCAACTCCTGATTATCTCATAAAACAGGCTCTTCCTCTCTGTGTCCCTTGGCCCTGCCTTCATTCAAACCTCAACTTACCTGGTCAACAACTCCTACCAATGTCCTACCCTCCTGTCCTAGTTTGTTTCTTCATTGCTGTGACAAAATACTCTGACCAAATCAACTTGGGAAGGAAAGGATTTATTTGGCTTACATCTCCCAGGTTGCAGTTCATCAGGGAGCTCAAGGTAGTAACTCAGGGCAGGGACCTGGAGGCAGAAACTGGAGGCTACTTACAATGCTACTTACTGGCTTGTTCCCCTGACCCCTGCTCAGCCTGCTTTCTTATGCAACACAGGCCCGCCTGCCCATGGGTGGCACCACCCACAGTGGGCTGGGCCCTCTCACATCACTCAACAATCAAGAAAAAGCCCCACAGACATGGCGATAGGCCAGTCCAATGGACACAATTCCCCAACTGAGGCTCCCTCAACCCAGGTGTGTCAAGTTGGCACTAAAGCTGTCCAGCATACAGACTATTCTCTGTTCACCACAGTTTTCTGCAGTGAGGCATTATCAAGGCCCTGTATGCATTCTAAGTCATACTCAACCCAGGTGTGTCAAGTTGACACTAAAGCTATCCAGCACAAAAGGCATTGCTGGAAAAATCAGAATACCCATTTCAAGCTATATTACTAAAAATGGTAACAAGAATAACATGGTAACGATGCAAAAACAGATACACAGACCAAGGAAGCACAAGAGATGATTCAGATACAGATCTGCCCAGCTACAGCCACCTGATTCTTCACAAAGGTGACAAGAACTTATTTCACAAAGACTATGTTTCAGCAAATGGTACTGGGAAACTGGATATTTGCATGTAGAAAAAAAAAATACCAGTTTCCTCTCTTACCCTATATCAAAATCAATGCTGTATGCATCAAATACCTTATTGTAAAACAACATGAAATTTTGAAACTAATAGAAGAAAGCATTGGAGAAATGCTTCAAGACATAGGCATGAGCAAGGATTTTCAGAAAATCTGCAATAGTTCAAGAAATAATAGTCAGAACTAAGAGTGAAAAGCCAGTTTTTGGAAGAGTAGAAAATCATCACCATCTAGCATGTCCTTAATGAGAATAAATAACTCAAAAATTAAAGAGAAAAACAATCCAATGAACAAACAAATGAACAGAATAGATGCTTCTCAATGAAGACATGCAACTGGACAATAAATACACACAAAAAATGTTCAATATCTTCAACCATCAGGTCCATGCAAGTCAGAACTACACTGAGAGTCTGTCCCATGCTAGTCGGAATGGCTGTCATCATGAAGACAGGAAACAGAAAAATTTGGCAAGGATGATGGGGGGGGAAACAAAGCCTTATGCACTTGTTGCCAGAATATAAAGTAGTCCAACCACTCTGGATATCGGCAAGAGAAGTTTGCAAACAATGAATAGAACTACTATATGATCCAGCAATATGACTTCTGGATTTACATGCAAAGAATCAAAATCAGAATACTGTAAGGTTACGTACATGCTGATGTGTATATGTGTATATGATGTGTATTATGCTATTGTTCTCAGTAGCTGAGTCATAGAGTCAGCTAGGTGTCCATCTTCAGACACAGGGTTAAAGAAAACATTGAATATTTATATAGTTTGTGTGTGCATGTATGTGTATGAGTTTAAATATTTATTTGTTTTGTTTATTTATGCATGTGTGTGCAGGTGCCCATGGACACCAGAAGAGAGCACTGGATCCACTAGAGCTGGAGTTCATGGAAATTGTCAGCTGCCTAGTGGGATGCTGAGAACTGAACTCCAGTCTTCAGTTCTCAAATGTGAGCCATCTCTTCAGTCTTCATAATAGCTTTTTTTCTTTCAGTCATAAAGAATGGATACATATCATTAGCAAAAATAAAAAAGGGATTGAAATGAGAATAATTACGTTGAGCGAAATAACCCAGACATGTGCAGCATATTCTCTCTCATATGTGATTTAGAAGAAGAGAAAAAGCATGAAAACAAAATGGGGGACATGGGGACATGGAATGATCATGGTGGAGGGATGGAAGATAAGAAAGGACAGTAAAAAGGGTGAATATTATCAAAGTATGGTCTATGCAAATTGGAACATTAAAACGCCATCTATTATATCTTACTATTTATATATGCCAATGAAACACATAAAAATACACAAATTTTAAAATAACAATACACGTGGCTGTTTTGTTCATTGATCTTCGCAAGAGCATAGTTTTCAATATGTGTTGTTTCATTAAATTGCACAGATTTTTTCCAGTGTTGACTCATGTAAATAAGTATAAAAATTTATTTTTGGTAAACCTACCACAGAGTCTGTCAGACATTCTAAACTTGGGATGTTCTCAAGCGTGTACTGATATGTGCAAGTTCTCCAAATTTTAAATTTTCCATTGATAGCTAACATTTTATCATTGAAAAAATATTTCAAATAGTTCATCTTAAAGTTACAGGACCACATTTAGTTATGAAAAGCTGTCAGTCAAATATTTAAGTTGAAATAATCATAATTTCTCTGTCACTTTTTCTTTCAAGCAAAAAGTTAGTTTCAGTTCATACAGTGATTTTAATTGACATAAAAATCATAATTTATAAAGCATAGAAGTTTTAATTTCTCCTTTACTCATATATTCAAAAACTTTACCCTGTATTTGTGCATGTGAAGGTGGCTTTTCTTCCTAAAGTTAAGGGGGGGG